TGGACATTTGGTCCTATTTTTTTAGAATGCCCCTTATAATTTTAAATTAGACGCTGGATATTATAACTAAAATTATGGAGGCTCTGGATGATGTTCTATATACTTGAAGAGGGTTAGCATTTCTCCTGTCAGGTATATAGGGTAGAAATGGATTGACTTGATCCTGTTGAGGCTTTGTTTTATGCTCGTTATTTCAGCTTTGCCTTTTCCTAGGGCATAGCTTTTATTCCTAAGGCATGTTTCTTATTGTTGGGTTATGGCCCTTTTAGGGTCTCAATACAAAGACTGGTGTGTTTATCAAGGTCCACATCCAGTGGGGCTTGAAACTAACACTTATTTCGCCAGCACCACACAGCTGCTGCAATCTCTTCTCAGGTCTCTAGCACTCCAGCTACTGTTTTTTGCTGTTTCCTGGTGTCTTGTTTTGAACATATACAACTTATAGGTTGAACAAGACTTGAAAGCTTGGTTGCAGGTTTTCCCCTTCTTTTTATGATTTCCCCCTCAAATTGCAGCCATTTTGGCTGACCCAAACTCCAACCTCTCACTCTCTTCAACCTCATAAGACTGCTTGGATATTATTTCTCTGCATTGTGATTTGAAAACTAAAATGCTCTCAGAAAAAGAGCTAGCACAAATGTGGAACTCAACTCCTGTGCTTCCCTTCTCTCAAGGATCATAGATCCTCAAGTCCTGCCCTCTATTGGTCGCTCTGCAATGCTTTTAAAGATTTAATTGGGGAATCGGGGAAGGGGAACAGTGTTGGGGAATTGGGGAAAGGGAACAGCCAAATTGTTGTTTTTCAATCTTGGTTGTGGAGGGCACAGCTAGCTCAGCTCCAAGTCCAGTCTCCATCTGGCCGTCTGTTGGCAGCTCACGGCCACTCAGCTCAAGGTGCCATGTTCAATCTTAGTTGTGGGTGGACATAGCCCACCATACTATTCTGGGAGTCGAGCCGGCAGCCTTGCTCTAAGCTTGTTCTAACCATCCAGCTGCCCGACAGCAGCTCAGCTTGGGCGTGGTTCACTGGCCCATGTGGGAATCAAACCAGCAACGCTGTTGCTCAGAGCTCGTGCTCTTAACAAACTGAGCCAGTTGGCAGGCCCCTCTGCAATGCTTTAAAACTGCTGTTATATATATTTTGTCTAGCCTTTTTTTGTTGTTTTCAGGAGGAAGGCTTGGAAGCGTTTGAGAAGACTGGTATTAATTCTAAACACCAATTCAGATGTGACCCCTCAGGACACATCTGTCTTTCCTTAAAGACAAACTACTCCATTAAGACCAATATTGTGGCCCGAGCTGAGCAGTCACTGAGCTGCCAACAGGTGGCAGGATGGCTCAGCTAAAAAAAAAAAAAAAAAAAAAGACCAATATTGGAAGTCCCTGCGTCCTCTCTAGTTCTGCCTGCTTCTACCAGTCATCAAGAGGGAGATAAAAGCAGGGAAGATAAAACCATATACGAGTATTATTTCTACCCTACTTATTTCTCCGATGGGTTTGTGGTAGGCCACCTTGTTTTCCAGGAGTAACTCCTAGGCTTTAGGACAGTTATGGCCCAGCTTCCATGGAAAAGACCAGAGCTAGCCTCTAATCCTGGCTCACCCTAACTAGCTGTATGACTTCAGATGAATTGTTCATCTTTTTTGAGTCCATTTTTCTTTGTACCTGAAATAGGATTAGTAGCTGACTTGTTTACAGGAATGTTATGACGATAAACAGTGAAAGTATAGAAAAATCTTTTGAAAGACTACAAAAGGCTGCAGAAACAGAGGTATCTGTTACTTTCCACCCGACAGCCTAGAGGCAGCACAAAACTGGGAATAAGGATTCCAGGATTTGGATTTGGCTTAGTCACTACCATGTTTCCTTGAAAAATAAGACCTAAACAGAAAATAAGCCCTAGCATGATTTTTCAGGATGCTGGTAATATAAGCCCTACCCTAAACATAAGTCCCAGTTAAGATTGTCAGCCAGGGGCCGGCAGAATGGCACGTTGGTTAAGAGCTGGCTTTGGGATGCCAGAGGGCCCCAGTTCGGATCCCACATATGAGGGCTAGTGACGCTGCACTCTCTACAGCTAAGATGCTGAACAACAGCTCAACCTGGAGCTGGGCTGCCTGTGAGTCACTGGTGACTGCGTAGGCTGCAGCCCCTGCTGCAGTGGGTTGTCATGGGCTACCGTGTGTGGCGAGTGGCCAGCAGCTGCTGTGAGCGGCTAACCAGAAGCTGGCGACTGATCTGCCTCGCCCGGGAAGAGCACAATGTTGGTGACAACTGGGGCCAGTGAAGCAACGTCCTCCACAACTAGACTGAAGAAAAAAATGACAGCAACTTTTCTGTTCCCCTCCCCTCGATTCCTCAGCGCTGTTCCCCTCCCCCAATTTCCCAATAAAATCTTAAAAAAAAAAAAGATTGTCAGCCAGACATGACTGTTTGAATAAAGATTTTTGTACATGAATAAATGTAGATTGTTGGAGCAAAAATTAATATAAGACCTGGTCTTATTTTCAGGGAAACACGGTAACTAGCTGTTGACTCTGGGTAAACCGATTTGTTCTGCTTGATCTGTAAATTGAGAGAGGTTATCAAACTATAAGTAATAACGCAAAAACAAAACACTTAATAAATGAAGCCTAAGTCTGTTCGTGAGTCAACAATTAATTGAGGGGAGGTAGCCATCAGATTAATTTCTTCTTCTTGGCAGTTGCATTATGTCAATAATACTCGTATTGAAAGGAATCTTGGGATCTCTTGGAAAAGTGAGATAAGTGCTGTAGCTTGCACTTAGAAGATGAACATGAATTTTTACACCTTCTATAGGAAAAGAAAGAGGGAAGGAGGAGAATGAGAGAAAAGGGAGATGTGGTCGCTGGCATCATTTCCCCTGGACTGAACGCTAGGACCTGTGCCTATCATTATGCTTGTGGCTGGCCCCAGAACTGGCAATTATCTGAGGTAAAAATGAAAAACAGAGATAAAGTATGAGTTAGGATGAGTAAGAGAGACTTCACAGTCACATTGAGATGATAGCCAGACATCAGATTGAAAATATCTATAATTTTCCTGAATTACTATAAGATCTTACAATAGTAGCCTATAGCTATAAGGTCATCTACTGTTTTCCAAATTCTTTTTCTATATGAAATTACTTAATTTTCATAATAATCTTGTGAGATAGCATTAAGCAATTAGACAGAAAGGAGTAACAAAGGGGCCCAGAAAGATGAAATGAATTGCTCCAGGTTGCAGAATATAACACTCATTTAATCTGCTAAGGCTTTTATACACTCACAGAACTAGGGAAATGGAAAAATGTGTTCCTATTTTGGTGATTGTTATCAGCATCTACATACCCAATAATCTAAACCAGAATCCTGTGTTTGTTTGTTTCGCTTATCTTACAAATATTTATTGGTTGTCTAATACATGGCAGGCCTTGAGTCTGGGGATATAGTGGTGGACAAGATTGAAAGCCTGTGCTTGAGGAGATCACAGTCTAATGGGAGACAAGCAAACATCTAGAGCACTATGTCTTTTGCAGGGAACATTGTATGTTATGGAGCAACATGCAGCAAATTATTACTGGAGGGTAGGAATAGGTAGAAACTAGATCGTTTTGAAAAATTACCTTTCCCCTTTCATAAATTTCCCCCATGCCCAATCAATCACCAAGTCCTATAGACTTGTTTCCTTCTATGCATCCTCTTCTACTGCTTTGGTTAGAGCCTCATCATGTCTGACATGGACTATTGCTTTTGTCTCCCAGCCTGTCTCCCTGTCCTCAATGTACATCCTTCCAATCCTGCCTTCCCATTTGGTTCAGAATAAGCCCAAATTTTTAGTCTGGCTTACAGAGAGCCCACCTCCATCTGGTACTTACCTGCATCTCCAGACTTACGTCTTTTTTTTTTTTAAAGATTTTATTAGGGAATTGGGGGAGGGAAACAGACAACTTGCTGTCCTTTTGTTCTTCAGTCTAGTTGTGGAGGACGTCACTTCACTGGCCCATGTTGGTATTATCATTGCGCTCTTCCCAGCTGAGGCAGTCGCTTGCTGGCCATTGGATGGTGTCTCATGGCAGCCCAGCTCCAGGTCGAGCTGTTGTTCACCATCTTAGCTGTAGAGGGCGCAGTGTCACTGGCCCTCATTTGGGTTCTGAACCGGGGCCCTGCTGCTCAGAGTTGCATCCCAAGCCAACTCCTAACCAACACACCACTCGGCCAGCCCTCCAGACTTATGTATTGATAGATCACTTCCATCCCATTCACATTTCCCCCCTCCATTCCTTAGCTAATTCCTTACTTTATTCTGTTCTTCCTTAATTCATTCCTCAAACATTCCTCTCCATTCTTTAGCTAATTTTTGAAGTCTCCTTACCGTATCAGGGAAGGACACAGCTCCGTGCTTTTGTTCAGGTTTCTCTCTCTGCTTGGTATATCTTCCGCTTTCTCCATCATTGATCCTCCACTTACCGTTCAAGACTTTCCAGGCTCAGGGCAACTGTTACCAACTCCGTGAAACGTTTTGGACACATCTGTCTTTCCTTACTGATTTGTAAGCTCCTTCGTGACAGAGACAAATGTCTCATTCATTTTTGTGTCTTCAGCACCCAAAACAGTGCCTGGGGGATAGTGAGCACTCAACAAATATTTGTTGACTGGATTAATAAAAGACTTCCTAGAGATCATTTGGCATTGAATCCTGGATAGTCCTGCTTTCTGTTGTTTTCTGGTAGCTGTCTTCCCAGTACATAATGATGAAAAATGTTCTGAGAGCAGAGACCTTTCTCTTTTCTTTTACACGTTTTCCGTGCCTTGCTCAGTGCTGGGCAATGCTTTTGCTGATGTGCCTGTTAGGAGTTCCTGCAGAATTCCCTGCAAAAAATAGTCCTTAAAATATATAAATATTTAATTCCTCTACAGGGATGTAGAGTAAGCACAGTTGAAGGAGGGCCAAGCCAAAATGAGCCAATCACAGGAAGTCTTCAGTATGCTCCCTCCCTTCAGAGTCAGAATCTCTTGGAGCTGAGTTTTTCTTTCAGTCCTTGACTGAGGAGACAGAAGGAATCCTGCAAGCTGCTGTAAGAAAGGGTGTTTGGGGAGGGCAGGAACCTGATTTGCCAAATTTCTTAACTGATCATATTTAGACCAAATGCAGGTAGTTCTCTGCCTATACAGAAAGGCACTGATTTATACAACGAAAGTCTGTTTATGTGTGTTTAATGAAATTATATTTTAAGTACTTAAAGAGATCACATTAAAAAATATAAATCTGTGGGGGTTTATGCATGGAAATTTTCTGCAAAGAAACATCTTAGAATGAACTTATACATTTGAATGTTTGTCTATGAGGGTTGCTTATGGTGAGGCTCAAATGTTTGCTTTAGTGTTTTGATTCTCTCATTTTGTTTTAAAACTTTCTTTGAGATAATTAACATTCATGCTGACTATTCTAAGTGTAGATTTCTTTTATTTTACTAATGAGGATGCTCTTAGATACTCCAAAAACCATTTTTGTACGACAATGTAGTCAGGAACTTGAAAGCCTTTTGTTTTCTCGCAATATGTTAGGGTCTGGGGCCTCCCCAGCCCTCTGCCTCCCTTTCTGCTTTCATTTTACAAAGCACAGCTCACTGGAGCCTCCCTGAGAGTAACAGGGGTAGTTACCTTCTGGCTCTTCCTTCAAAGGACCTAACAGGGTCCTTTTTAGTCCAGGTCCTGGACTAAATCACTGCTTCATTTAAATGAACCCTGCCCTTCATTTCTCTTCTCCTATCTTATTACCCGCCCCCCTTTTTTAACCTATTCACAGAGATAGAAGTCTATATTTCACTATCTATTATATTAAAATTATGCTTCCAATTTCCCCAATTCTCAGTTTTTAAAGAAATCAACTAAACATCTCAAGATTTTTAGTTTTGTTTTTCCTGTGGACAACTGGTCCTAAAAATTCTCCCCAGTCCCACATTTTAGAATGACCAATCTTTCAGCCTTGGCTCTGAATTTGTTTTTCAGCTAAAGTAAACAGGAGATGAAGACAAACGAAAGAGGGGTCACTGATCTGTCCACAGTGGAGACTGACCTAGAGAACCCAGGGCTGGAGCTCACGGTAATTCACCAGTTTAGTTTCTGCATAGCCTTGTGACCGGCTGCATGGCCTCATGTAGGGTCTCTGACTATTCTCAATCCCCACCTCCCCTGGCAGGGCCCTATGACTGACCTCAACTCTAATTGTGCTTACAGGAAGAAGGAGAAAATCCTGAGAGAACCAGAAGGACTGAAGAGCAAGGAGAACCAGAAGGATTGAAGAGCCTTGGGGATGGGCTTAGGTCTTCCACTCACCAGAGGTACACGCGTTCTAGAATTGGCTCAGTTTAAGACCTAAGGAACTAGGGTGCGTTAAGTGTGGCCAGTGGACTCAGAAGAGGTCAAAATTGCTCCGTTCTCAGAAAGCTTGTGGTCCTATTATAGAGATAAGACTCACAGCTACCTAATGTTATCATACGCACTCTATACTTATATGTAATTAAATTGTTATATATAAACCTGTGCTATCAATAATGGGAGTTCAGCATTTATTGATGTTGGTTGGACTGACAATAAAAACAACAATGAGAATAAAAATAGCTAACGTTTATTGAGTACTTACTATTGTGCAGACTGCTTTATGTAATTAATTTCCTTAATTTTCACAGCAACAGGTAGCTATTAATTTTAATCCCCTTTTTAAATCAGAATAGTGAGGCTTAGAAATTAACTTATCCATATCACCAAAAAAAAAAAATAAGGCTCTTCTGGAATACTCAAATTTGGGGTAGGGAGAAAGAAAAATGAGACAAAAAAGAGAGAGAGAGAACGACCCACCATGAGGGATAACAGTGGAAGTAAAAAGTACAGTCTTGGAAGTCAAAAGAGAAGCAAGAATGAGGACACAGTCCACAGTGTGATGTGCAATGGGGAGTCAAGGAAGAAGGTGTGAGAAAAATCCTTGATTTTGATCATGGATTTGGTCCCAGAAAGTTGTTCAGGTAAAAGAGGTCAGATGGAAGCCATGTTCCACAGCATGGAAAAGGGTCTGGATATTTATAGAAAAGTGCAGCAGTCATACCCTGTGAAGCTTAGAAGAGGATATTAAATAGCTTCTAAAAGGAATATGTGGATATGATCCAGAGCAGCTCCCAAACCAAAGGTTTTTAAAATTTGTTTTCTTTTCTTTATTTTTAAGAATTAACTTAGTGACTGTATAGAGAAAAGAAAATTTTAAATTCTATTTTCTTATCCAGAAATTCATATTCTATATACAAATTGATATATCAATGTGGACATGTGGGAAGAGGTTAGAGGAGTTAAATCCCAGAGGCACTGTTGGAGCAGAATGGCAAGATTTAGTGATTAATTAAAGGCCAGCCATTCTCAGGATGCACACTCAGACCCCTGTCTTAATCCTCCCTTACTCCTGTTCTTGGTTCCTCAGGAAATCCTTACTCTTATCCTTCAATGCAAACTGATTTTAACTTCTCTTTCATTACTCTTGCTGAATTTGTCCATTTTTATAAAGCAATTTAGCACAACCTAAACATTTTAGGGAGAGTTCTTTCTGTTGTTATAATTCAGAAAAGTTTGGTGGTGGTGAGAGGTGTTTGTTTTTCAGAAGTAGTAAACTTGAGCCCATCTGATGGTTGAAAACAGGAGTCAGGAGAGTCAGAAAGAGAAGGAATGGACGATGACGGACGGGTACGTTGATAGTGAGAAAAATAATTGTCAGCACAAGGCCCTTAGAAGTTGTCAGGAGGTGGAATTGAGATTAAGAGCTGGAGAATTTGCATTGGTAAATGGGAAGGCTAGCTCTTCCCAAGATGTTAAAAAGGGGTCTGAGAAGCTGTTGGATCAGAGCTGCACTGAGAAGAAAATAAGGGGTGTAAGGCCAGCGAGGCTAAATTTCTGTAAAGTAGGGGATGTATCTGCTGAGAGCAAAGGAGACTAGGCGAGATAAGAGCATCCCTCCCCCCCTCAGCCCTGCAGACCCTCAGCTGTGTCTCTCCACCCTGAGCGGTGGTGCTGAGTGACATTAGGGTCCTGGAGCTAGCTTGGCAGGGGCCAGGCACCTTCCTAAATTCGGGTCTGGCTGGGGAATGGGCAGCAGACCTGAGAGGGGCTCTTCTGTCCTGGAGGAAGGGTCACACACTTCTTCCTAGCTTGTCTACTGAATACCACCTCTTCTAGTTTTTAACTCCAGAAATGAAGAGTTGCATCATATGAAACTTTTCATTTACATGAATGTTTTTGTTTTATTCAAGCTAATTACTAGGAAAGCAGATAATGATCACGCCATAAACCTTGTCAATTTCAGCTCTAATTTCTGTTCAGATATGCCTAGGTTTCATGTAGAGCCCAGTTAAAAATAATTAAGTGGACCTTTGGCCCCTAACTGGACTGCCTGAGCCTTCTTCACTGGTTGACACTTTATTACACATGACTGCTTGCTTATTTCCCTTTAGCAGTTGTTCTAAAACTCCTCTTCTTCTCAAATTCTCAACCCCATTCACTCTACCTGTCCCCATCTCCACTGCTAATAGCTATTTAATCCAGTATCATTCCTTTTTAAGAAGATTCAGTATTTTTGTCACTAATTTCCTTATGCACCATGGCACTAACACTTATATCATTACCTTATAATTTGTCTTTGTTTTCTTTATTTTTTTCTTTCTCTCAGAAAAAGAACAGTCTCCCTCTTGCTATTTTTAGCCAATCTGCCAGTCTCTGCTTTTTAATTAGGGTGCTTAGGTCATTTACATTTAATGATTTAAAAATACCATCTTGCTATGTACTTGTTTCTATTTGTCTCAATTGTTCTTTTTTTCAATGTATCAAATTTATTTCTCCCATTGTTAGTTTATTTTTCCCAGTTATCCATTAAAAATAGATTGTATTTTCAGTGGTTACTCAATATTACACTCCTTCCATTAACTACAATCACCCCATTCCTCTGATTTTATGAAAATTTTCTTAACAATAAAATTTAGGATTTGAGGAACATTTATTATTTGATTTATTACTCTTGGCTCCACAAAGTGAAACCTGACAAAATAAAAAGTAAAGGCCCAGTTCATAATCAATGAGCTCAAATGTTTACCCAGATCTTCTAATTTCTGGATTGCAAGTAAACATATTTTTTAATTGAAATATATTTGACATATAACATTAAGCAAATTTAAGGTACACACGTGTTAATTTGATATATTTATATATTGTAATAAATACGATTGCTATTGTGGCAATAATTAGCACCTCTATCACATTACATAGAGTTATTTTCTGTTTAGTGGTTGGAATCATTAAGTTCTAGTCTCTCAGCAAGTTTGATGATTATTATAGAGCATTATTGTCTATATTCACTATACCGTACATTAGATTTCTAGGGCTTATTTACTACTCGTTGCAGATTTGTACCCTTAAACAACATCTGTCCTATCCTCCTACCCCCTAGTAACCACCATTTTACTTTCTGTTTTTGTGATTTTGGATTTTTAGATTCCACATATAAGTCATATATAGTACTTATCTTTCTCTGTCTGACTTATCTCACTTAGCATAATTTGCTCAAGTCCTTCCATGTTGTTGCAAATGGCAGGATGTTCTTTCCCATGGCTAAATACTATTCCAGTGTGTGTGTGTGTGTGTGTGTGTGTGTGTGTGTGTGTGTATCACATCACGTTTTCTTTATCCATTTATCCATTGATGGACACTTAGATTGTTTCCATATCTTGGTTATTGTGAATAATGCTGCAATAAATATGGGAGTGCATATATCTCTTCAATATTCTGTTTTCATTTCCTTTGGGTATATATACCCAGAAGTGAAACTGCTGAATCATATGATAGATCTATTTTAAATTTTTTGAAGAACCTCCACATTGTTTTCCATAGTGGTTGAAGCAATTTACATTCTCACCAATAGAGTACAATGGTTTCCTTTTCTCCACATCCTCACCAACACTTGTTATCTTTTGTCTTCTTGATCATGGCCATTCTAACAGGTATGAGATGATAGCTCATTGTGGTTTTGAACTGCATTTCTCTGATGATTACTGATGTTGAGCATCTTCTCATGTACCTGTTGGCCATTTGGGTATCTTTTTTGGAAAAAAATTTGCAAATTTTTTTCTCTCATTCTGTAGATTGCAAAAAATTTTCTCTCATTCTGTAGATTGCCTCTTCATTTTGTTGTTTCTTTTGCTGTGCAGAAGCTTTTTAAGTTTGATGTGGTCCCACTTGTTGATTTTTGCTTTTGCTGTTTGTGCTTTTGGTGTCATAGCCAAGAAAAATCATTGCCAAGGCCAATGCTGAGGAGCTGCTTCCCTACGTTTTCTTCTAGGAGTTTTATGGTATCAGGTCTTATGTGTAAGTCTGATCCATTTCAAGTTAACTTTTATGAATGGTATAAGTTAAGAGTCCAATTTCATTGTTCTTCATGTGTTTATCCAGTTTTTCCAACACTGTTTGTTGAAGAGACAATCCTTTCCTAATTGGGTGTTCTTGACTCCCTTGTCAAATATTAGTTACTGTATATGTGGGAGTTTAATTCTGAGCTCTCTGTTCTGTTCCATTGGTCTATGTATATTTTTATGCAATTACCATACTGTTTTTATTATTATAACTCTGTAGAATAGTTTGAAATAAAAAAGTGTGATACCTCCAGTTTTGTTCTGTTTCCTCAGGGTTGCTTTAGCTATGTGGAGTCTTTTGTGGTTCCATACACATTTTAGGATTGTTTTTTCCATTTCTGTGAACTATTTTGATGGGGAGTGCATTGCATCTATAGATGGCTTTGGGTAGTATGGACATTTTAACAATATTATTTCTTCTGATTCATGAACGTGGGATGTCTTTTCATATTCTTTTCTAATGCCTTTCCTCTTTTTAAGACTTCCTTCAGATTAATTGAATATTTAAATGATTATTTTATCTCCTTTGTGGGCTTATTAGCTGTAACTCTTTGTTTTGTTATATTAGTGCTTGCTTTGTGTCTATAGTGTACATCTTCAACTTAGCAAGTCTACCTTCCAGTGATATTATATCCTTTCACATATAGTATTAGAAACTTATAACTGTATACTTCTATATCTCCCCTTCCAGCCTTTATAGTACTGTTGTTTATGTTTATACATTTGACTTCTATGTGTTATAAACACCATACTACACTGTTATTATTTTTGTTTAAACAGTAAATTATCTTACTATATGCGCCAACTTACATGTTCCTGCATCTGCATGAATCCTTATCTGTCCCCCTCCTTTATCAGAAGGCCTACTCTCCCTGAGTCTAAAGCCAACTTCACTACCCATC